CCGTAATAAGTAACTTTTTTTCGCAATGGCAACTAACCATGCCTGGGCATAAACGAGTTAAAAAGTTAAAAATTAAATTAATTTTAATTTTTAACTTTTTAAAATTTAATTTTCATTATTTTAATTTTTAACTTAACTTATTTTAATTGATACAAACGTAATAAATAACGAGTTACTTTTAATAAAATTAAAGTTAAGTTAATTTATAAATAATCAAATAATAAATATAATAAAAATAAAAATAAGTATTAATATTACATAACCATTTACTAGACTAGGGAATTACAAATATAGTTAAATTAATTTCTTGATCCATTAACCAGAATTCTTCAAGAAAAATAACTCAATTAAATACATATAGATATAGCATTAGCCAATTATATTATAACATATAGATTATAGGTGTATCATACATATAAAAATAGCATAGCATACGAGCATATTGTAATAATAATAATTAATAAATACTAATAAGTAATATGATATTATTTAAATTTATTGATATAGATACAAATCAAAATGTTAAAATTCTCAAGAACATATTGTAAAATATTTTTGGCATAAATAGGTTATTTTTAAATTAAAACTAATTGGATTATGCTCATGTATATTTATATTTCAAATATTTTTATTTATAAACAGTCAATATTGTCAGTAGACAAAATAGTCATAGCCTACATGGGTTCACTTTTTGTTCTCGCCTTTCTCAGCACGCCAAGATTACAATACGAGTTTCAGTTTTTGTGTAACTATGGATGATGTGATTATAAGTGTCCAGTGAAATACGTTTATTTTTATTTTTTTTTTGATTAAATTATTAAATTATAGAATTTTTAATTTTTAATTCTCTCAATACATTCAGTTTACACCAACTGGATACTTGGTGACTTGGTCTGTGTAATATGTATAATACTTATCTGTATTAATAAATCTAAAGATTGTATTTTCAATTTTATATGCTTTTCGTACCTACTACATAATTCTACAAAGCTGGGCAAGTAAGTCATTTTTTACAACTTACTGGTTGAAGTTAAGTTACTTTAATAAAAAAACTAACTAAGTTAGAGTATAAGTTAGTTTCTGAAACTGTCCAAATTTCTAAGTTAGTTTGGGGAAAATAGTAACTTAAGTTAGAGTAGAAGTTGGAAGTTAGTTTTTTTTATAAATTAAAAAATCTTTTAATTGAAAACAATAAAAATAAGTAAATATAAAATAAGTTATCTAACTGGAATTATTGATTGAAACTGAAAAATTGAATTAAACACCTAGTAATTTGATCAAAATGTTCTAATTCGGTAGTAATAATTCAATTAATACAAATTAATAAATAATATAAAGTATTTCAATTTATTTAGAACAAGGATGAAAAAAAATATAACAGTAAGGTCAGGTGGGGTAAGAGTCTAACGGGGCTAGTGCAGCCTAATCGGGTATAAAAATACAATCTTTCAATTTAAAGTTTATTTCATGAAGATTACGAAGTTTAATAGTAATCGAATGTTGTATAATGTTGGTTACACCAGTGGCGTATCTACGGGGGGGATATGGGGGTCATATCCCCCCCGGGAAGGTTATTTTTTTAAAATTTTTTTATTAAAAACCAATTCTTGATAGTTGTATGAAGATTGAGAGTTTACCTAAAACCTAACCCTATGAACGAAATGAATGGTATTAAATTCATAATATCATACAACCAGTGGCTTCATTTCGTTTTTCAATAGAGGGGGCAAAGGTTTTGACCAGCCCGCAGGGGTAAAAAAAAAACCGCTCACAACTACATATTATCTGCTTAAATTTGTTTATGGTACTTACCCTTTTTATTAACTAGGTAACATAATTTTTAAACATAAGGTAGCAGATATTTTAGAAAAACAATTGTATACATAAATCAGTTAAAATCTGCAAAACTATTATACAGCAATATTTATATTGATAAACGAAAATATTAGTAGTTTATTAGGATATCTTCTTTTTTTTATTTTTGAAAATATATCAACTGCATTATCTTTAAATCAATTTTACCTGATTCATCACTTACAATCCATACTCTATTACTCTTATATAGGTATACGATATATTTACAAATTAATATTACTTATCTTAAATTAAAGTATATTTTTGTTTATTGCTTAGTTATGAAACACACCAGAAATTATTTTCGATTTTTGAGTAGGTAGTTTGCGGTAATTTTATATTTTTAGCCACACAACCCATTTATTTTATTTTTTAAGTCATATTTTGACCAAATTAAAAGATTAATGTAAACACGCGTCACGAAAAAAATACATTTTAATTTAGGTAGAATAAGGTACTCAACTTAAATATTAACACAATACCCAGAATAGTTGAATCATACACGACTGTTGTAAGTTAACTGAAGTCCGTGATCAATGATAATTAATAAAAGTTCCAATCGGTTGTTGTTTTTAGAATTTGTATTAATTTTAGATTTTAGAAATTAAACTATACGAGATTATGATACTAATTATTATTATTATTTTCACAATTACAACATGTCTATTAAAATGTTTATATCCCCCCCTTGAAAAAATCCTAGATACGCTACTGGGTTACACTTTAGGATATCCAACATAGCAGTTATCACTATTCAAAAGCTAATCATTTATTTACTCGTATTTTTTTAAATCGACGATAGTTCAACGGTCTAGTTAAGACACCTAAATTACTCAAAATAATTTCAAATTAGGTAAATAAATGTTATTTTATATTTATAAAACTGTATAATTTATAGTATTAAATTTGAATTCAATGATATATTATCATTGTATAAGAAAAACGATTCTGAGTGGAGATGGTATGTCAGTCTAGGTATAAGACATATTATATACTTATCTATGGTATTAAAAAAAATTGACCTATAAATTATAATAGGTACCTATAATAAATTCCAAATTAATCATATCACAATTATTCACAATATCCATTATGTACTTATAACGCGTTATATATAACAACAAATCCTGATACTATCATAGATATATAATAGCGTACCTACATTAAAAGTTTCAAGTACCCACGAATAATATTATACAATCACAACAAAATAACTAAAATAATTATTTTAGGTTTTTTTTATGTAATTCCGTCCAAATTTTAACTTAAAATGACTATAAAAATAAACTGTGATTATATTTATTTTTTAGATTTTTTGGGAACAGAATAAACTACTTACGTGGAACTTTGTTTTAAATTTTCAATCCTTAGATATAAAAGTTGAACATTTTATAAATTTTTAACTACAAAATAATTATTCAATTTTAAATTTGATAAATTTTGTCAAAATTCGATCTTTAAATGCTTATAAAATAAAATTGTGCATATGTATTTTAAATAGTTTTCAACTGATATTGTAACACTATCAAGAGCCTTGTATTAAATTTTACACTTTTTGGCCCAACAGATAAAACTTTATTGATATTATAAAAAAAAACTGAAAATGTCTGTAAACAGCTCAAAAAGAGTCTAAATATTTTGAATATTTATTAAAGATAAGAATTAATAAAATAAACATTCAGTGAAATTTTCATGTATCTACAGCTATTTGTTTTGGAATTACATTAAAATAAGGAAATTGCTACATGAGAAATTGAGTAAATATCCAATGTTGTAAAAATATTAATTTCAAACGCTCATAAAAATTTAATTTGACTTTCTTATAGACATTTTTTTTTTGATAAAGGTAGATAATCTTATAAGGAATCTTGTATGACATTTTGAAATCTCAGATTTAAAAAAAAAAATTTTACGAATTCTTAACTCAAAATAATTTGCTAATTTTCGTGATTTTTCCATATTTTGTCAATTTTTGAACTTTAAATGCTTATAAAAGAAAACTGTGACTAAGGATTTTGAATATTTTTCATCTGCCTTTGAAACAATATACTAGGAACCTTCTATTAAATTTTCAAGCTTTTTAACAAACAAATAAACTTTTATTGATATTTTTAGAATAGAAACTAAAAAAAAATGGAAATTAAAATGTCCCTAAACAGTTCAAAATAAATCAAAATATTTTGAAAATGTTATCGTGTATAGAGAATGTAAATATAAACAACCAGTGAAAATGTCATGTGTCTACGATCATTTGTTTTAAATTTACACCAAAAACCAAATTCAATTTTGTGAAAAATCGATTTTGCATAAAAATTCCCGCTTTTCCTTAATTTTTCTCTTGTTTTTCTTGGCGCTTTTGAAAATTACTGGGAATTTTAAACGTTGACCTCCCCAATGCACCAACGATATTCACTTTCCAATCGAACAAGATACTGAAGTTGAAAATTGAAGCATTATTTCGACTAATTATCGTGTACAGACACAAAAATAAAAAAAATAAAAAAAACACACATCATTGTAAAATCAATACATTCATCGTTTCACTCAGAATCTAAAATAACTTAACTTAAGTTAATCAGTTAATTGAAAATGTTCATATAACTTTAAACGTAACTGAGTTAAAAAAAATTAGGTTAACTGTTAACTTTAAACTTTTTAAATTGTTTTCCATTAACTTAAGTTTACTCAGTTAAAAATGATCATTAACTTTCCCAGGCTTGCAACTATAACTGCTAGCAGAAATTAACAAACATTATGGGCTTATGATTTATATAATAATTAAATACCTAAAGTTGTATATTATCAGGTGGCCAATCTACCCGTGCTGTTTGTACGTATGTGTATAATTTAAGGCTACAACACGATTGTTCAATTTTTCCTTTTCTGACCTGAAAAATTACACCACGATTGCACCCCGATCCCTTTTTACCTGTTAAAATTACAAATTTATAATCATTATTTATTTTTCCTAAATGTGTTTTTATATGTACACAACTGCATTAATAAATTGCTAACAAATGTATTATTCAAATACCCAAAAGGTATTTATAACTTACTAACAACGATGATAAACATGCATATACAACTTGAATGTTTTAATGTGTTTCATTTCACCATAATATTGTAGTTTACATTTGAATAATATAATGAATAGTTTAGTAGTGGTTAATATTTGTATTGTTTTATTACATATATTCATTTTGGTCAACCTAACTACAGCAATTTGTGGTAAATATAAAAATAACCAAAATTATATTCTTGATTATTTGATGGATTTTAAACTTCAAAAAATTGTATATATAGTTTTCTACTTTTTAAATTAATTTATGTGCCTACATATTATGATAAAATCCTAATTATTTTTTATCTTAGAATATTAAAAATAAATTCCAACTTATTCGTATTATGTTGTTTTGAATATAATTAAAAAGTTCTACATTCATATTATGAACTAGACCAATAGGTGGTTCTGGTTCAATTCCTAAATAAATTATAGAAAAATTAAGGGTTCGACATGACTACAGCTGGTAAATTACATTATTAATAACACTATTACCATAATTATTATATTCTTAATTATTTGATGAATAATAAAAAAAGCTTAAATGAAAAACATATTACAGAATCCTTATTTTCAACAAGTTGGTTTGAATATAATTAAAAAGTTTCAACATATTTTGTGACTTTTATTGTGTTCATAATAGGTATAGTCGTGTTTTTTTTTTTTAATTATCTGTATTTGTTTCCCACTTATAACGTGGCACACCGTCATTAATAGTAACTAATGAGTATCTACTTAAGGGGCCTCGCTACGGTCATTATCAAAGGGGCAAAATTAAAGTTAGTTAACATTGTCTGATTTTGAATCTGAAAAAATATTTGAATTCAGCAGAAAAATGTCTGTAGGTCGTACGAAACATTTTCCGTTTTTAATATTAATTTTAATTTTAATTATGATTCAAAAAAGTTGATATTTTCAAGTTTTCAATTACAGTTCACTATAATATAAATTTTAGTTTTTACTAAGTGCTTCGTAGAATTTATAGACAATTTTCTGGGAAGTTCAAATTTTTTTTCAGAACCAAAATTGGACAACGTTAACTAACTTAAATTTTGTCAATACTTTAGGTCTTTTCAACTAAAATTTACGGCAGTAGCGAGGCCCCTTAATAAGTAGGTATTATGAATCAAAAATCCGTGGACTCGTATCTATTGATGTTTTTATACTGGTGAGTAAATAAATATTATGTTACCTCCGGGGTTGAAATAAACAGGCTATTGCATATAGACTCGGATTGTTATCATCAGAAACAAAATGGCTGCGTAAAGGGATATCACAAATATCAATTTTTCTTATTATCAAAGATACGCTGACAAAGCTAACAAATTCAAAATTCCACGAATACATACTCGATTATTATTGGCTAACTTTAAGCTACCATTTTTATTTTTATCATAATTTATTTGATTGAGAAGGGGTATATATGCAATAATCTTGTATATTTCAACCATGGTTACCCCTAAATCATTCTTAATTAGTACCTAATTCATGCAACATATTAGTTTTTATTTATAAATATGTGTAGTGAATTTTTCGTAAATTTATCTTTTTTTTCTAATAATATGTTCTATATTCTATGAACTTATAACTTATATAAATAATGTTTGGATAATATGAAAACTCATAATTAATTTAACTGTGAATAGTATAAATAATATAGGTTGATTTTAAGTTAACGTAGATAAAAACAGTGAAGTTAAAGTTAAGTTAATTAAAACACTGAACTAGTAAGTTAAGTAAATAACTTAACTTTTAACTTATTAAACTCGTTAGTACCCAGCCTTAATTATTACTGCTGTTATATTGATGTTTTTATATTTTTATTCTGACATTTTTCACATTTCATCTAAATTATTTTATGAATTGACTATTTATTATTTTTATTATTATTAATTATTACTGCTGTTTTCACTGATCTCATTTGGAACAGAGTAAACACTAGAGGAAGAACTCGTGTAACCAAATTAATATTATTTAAACATTTTCAAGGTTTTCAAATGTGCAGAGATAATTAAATAATGAGTACATCTTTGGTATTTCAGTATATTATTACCTAATAATAGCTTGTTCTAAATATAGTGTACAATAGAAATCCTAATTCTTTAAATTTATTATTTCCTTTTTTTCACATATTTGGTATGAATAGTTGAAGCTATTATAGGCGATTTTTCCCAGCTTGATTTCTTTTGTATAAAAGTATAAAATAACATTTTTTTTTTGTATTTTTAGGACTTGGTGGTTCATCTTGTAGGTATTTAGGTGATTTTGATAAACGCAATGTTATATGTCATAAAGATGTAGTGAAGGTAGAAAAACTTCCAAAAGAATGCACATCTTTTGTTTTTGATGGAGTTATTTGTAATAAAGATTATGAAATCGTGTATGGAACGATGCCAGAAGATTTTGGTAATAAACAATTTATTATTAATATTAGAAGGTACCTAGTTCTATTTATATCACATACTAATTTTTATAATATATTAGGTTTACTAAAAATACAATTTTGAATAGTTTTGAAGAGTTAAATTTGTAGTCTTAAATACCATTTAAGTAATTCAGTACCTAATATTTTCATTATTTAGATGTAATAAGTAATGATTAAAACTAAGAATATTCATAGTAGGTAAAGCCGTTCCATTACTTTATATAAATTAATTGATGACAAGCCGCCGTAGTCGTAATCGTAATTACTTGAAATTTTAGTGATTTGTTATGCCTGCCTCTAAGTGTTAATCAAATACTATCAAAAAAGCGTATAACAAGCAATTTATATCATCCACCCTGAAGCTAAAAATAAAATAAGTTTAGGTAATAAAAAATAGTTATCCTAGATTTAAATATACATCTTTTCTAAAGGGTATTTATTTATTGAATAAATAGTTAAAAAATCTAGATGCAATTATTATATTTTTATTAAATATTTATATTAAAATGTTAATTAAGTATTTCATATTTTCTGATTTCAATACTGTACATTTATTTTTAGGTAAACAATATAGACATGAATACATGATTAAGTTATTTAATTTTTATCTTAAATGAAAACATACCGTATCTAAATTCTAAATAAATTTATGTATAGATAAATATCCGTAAATATCCGTGAATGATTTTGAATTTATTTTTATGAAATAATTAAAATATTAATTTAATATTCTGGGAAGAACGTTTTAATAATAGTTATAATATTTATTCGAAGAAAACACACATACCTTATAAATAAATGAGAATTTTTCAACGAAGAGTCTATAATTCTATATTATACAGGGTGTATCTTATGTCATTGTACGCGGGGTTTTTTGACGATTACGGAACGATGATATGGAATTTCGTTTAAAACGAAAAAAGACGTGTTTCTTTATTTTTAACAAGCAATTGTTTTATAACAATTTCAAAATTTTTAAACACGCAGGTGTACGAATAGCAAAATCAACTTTTTTTTTTCAAATGGTAACCACTATATTTTTTAATGGATTCTGGTAAAGCTTTTTTTTCTGAACATTTTGGTATTCGAATCGTCAATTTTGGTTCGCTAGTTTATTAACTATGGTCCTCCAAAGATTAGTAAAATATGCATTAATACTTTTAATTAAAATAATGCGTATAGGTTTAATTTACAAGCGCTAAACAATTTTTTCTTATAACTACCATTTGATACACTACAATAGTTGAATCGGTAATCTAATGACACCCTCAAAAAAAAAAAAAAAAATAACAAACATAATTGTTTGTAAACATACTTCATTATTTTTATTTTAACATACGATCATATAAAATCAATATTATTATTTTAATATCCAAACTAAAAAGGATGGAAAGGGATGAATTACTACTCCTAAGTTCATACTTTGGATGCGATACCATTATAGGGAATCTATGGTTAAAATATCAAGTTTATACTTTATACCACTACGAAAAGAGCACCACAAAACATTGCACTTTTTTCGTTGCACATATTAATGTCAACAATCGAATACCATTTACCAATTTACCATTATTACCTTAGCCACCTCCCTAATTAAGAATTCAAATTTATGATATTGTAAGAAAAGTAACTGTGATGAAAAAAATGTAAAGTAATTAATTACGATTATAATAATAATTTAAAATAATAATATTGATTTTTATGATCGTATGTTAAAATAAAAATAATGAAGTATGTTTACAAACAATTATGTTTGTTATTTTTTTTTTTTTTTTGAGGGTGTCATTAGATTACCGATTCAACTATTGTAGAGTATCAAATGGTAGTTATAAGAAAAAATGGTTTAGGGCTTGTAAATTAAACCTATACCCATTATTTTAATTAAAAGTATTAATGCATATTTTACTAATCTTTGGAGGACCATAGTTAATAAACTAGCGAACCAAAATTGACGATTCGACTACCAAAATGTTCAGAAAAAAAAGCTTTACCAGAATCCATTAAAAAATATAGTGGTTACCATTTGAAAAAAAAAGTTGATTTTGCTATTGGTACACCTGCGTGTTTAAAAATTTTGAAATTGTTATAAAACAATTGCTTGTTAAAAATAAAGAAACACGTCTTTTTTCGTTTTAACGAAATTCCATATCATCGTTCCGTAATCGTCAAAAAACCCCGCGTACAATGACATAAGATACACCCTGTATACCTAGGTACATCGATGTTATCGACTTCGCCCGTATATCAATGTTATTTTAGTGTAGTATAAACTGCATACCTATTAAGCCTGGAGCATTCTGAGATCCCGTAGCTAGAGGTTAAATTGTTTTCAAAGTGAAGATATAACAAAAATAAATGTTATTGGATGTGTTGAGAAATTATATTAGTGACAAGTGATAACCTGACAATCTGTATCTTTTCCACGGTTTAAGATGGAATGGTTCAGCGACGATTCATACAATCCCACGGTACATTACGGCCGAAAAGTTTCTTATCAAATAAATGTTTTTACTCACTGGATACTAGCGCTTCCAGTGCCAACATGGCCTATCTAAATCTATCACTAAATGTTGGCGATAAAAACAATAATTCCAGACGGCATTTTACTATTTACTATTTAGCAATACCACAGACTATTAGACTAGAATATAAATAGAAATCTATTCTATAAGACTGTAAACATACTACAGAATATAGCAATAGCCGTACATATTAGTATTATCTTAGGAAATATAAGCTTTTGGTTTATAGTGTACCTATCATATATAGTAAGATATTAACAATTACAAATTATAAAATTATGTTTTTATACAAACTATATTTATACTTTGATGTACCTATTATTGCTTTTGGTAATCTGTTTTAGTTTAGAATAGAAAAATTGAAATTAAAAATTGGTTTATTTAACAACTGGTTCTTATTTTTCTTTGTAAAATTAGTTAATACTTCATACAGCTGGTATTAGATTGGAAAGCTATTAAATGCCGAAATAAAATTGACATTTGTTAAAAAAAAATACATTGTAAAGTTCTTCTACGTTTTCAATCATAAAGTATTATGAAGTAGGTACTATATAATAATAATTAATAATTATAATATAGTATTATTATTATTTAATAAATTTAAAGAATATCAAGATTATCGTGGTAATTTAGTAGATCGCGCTACGGGGCAGTGAGTTTTCATATTTTTGATAAGAAACTCTACCGCCGAAATATCAGACCTCGTCGCTTAACCATTCTATCTTGAACCGTGATCTTTTCTTATTATATCTTTTACATTTCTATACGTATTTATACATTATATAATATTATATAATGTATTTTATTATGTTGTCATATGTACAATTTAGAAAATAAAGGCTAAAATTATAATTTGTTTTATTCAACTATAAGAGTTTACTTTTTTATTAGGAATAAATGGAGTGGTAATAATATAATAAAAGTGTTCTCTGAACTATTGGAATAAGGGGAAAAATATACATTTTGGAGTAAGCATCACTTTCAACGGAGAGAAAAAGTAAATGGTGAAGGACGGAAACACGGGTCGAATAGAGACGAGTGCTCTTAAACGTGGTGATCATCAAAGCTGGGCACTAACTAGTTAGTTTTAATTCATATTAACTTTGTAACTTAACTAGATGAATTTAATGTGTAAAATAGTGTAATCTAACTTGTTAGAAAAAAAACTAACTAGTTATTATTATTATTTTTTGTTTTCATTCCAAAATTCCAAAAGCTGTTCCTCAATCATGACATTATAGCTATATGCCTATATAGATTATTGGCTCATATTTATTATTAATTATTTGTATTTATAATAATGCACGCACAGGAACCATGGCTTTTCCGCGTAGTCTGTAGAATGTTGATATCTACTAGATATAAATTGTATCTATATTCTATAGGTAACTTAACCAATTAGTGTAGACATAATGTTTTAAGTTGTCATACTGATATACTGTTATATTTTTTTTTCACCTTTTATGTTCTAATAAATTGAAATAGTTTATATTATTTATTAATTTGTATTAATTGACATTATTACTCACCTAATTAGAACATTTTGATCAAATTACTAGGTGTTTAATTCAATTTTTCAGTTTCAATCAAAAATTCAAGTTAGACAACTTATTTTATTTACTTATTTTATTTTTTTCAACTAAAAGGTTTTTTAATCTATAAAAAAACTAACTTCCAACTTCTGCTCTAACTTAAGTTACTATTTTCCCCAAACTAACTTCTAACAAACTAAGTTAGAAATTTGGACAGTTTCAGAAACTAACTTATACTCTAACTTAGTTAGTTTTCTTATTAAAGTAACTTAACTTCAACTAGTTGAAAAAAATGACTAAATTGCCTAGTTTTGGTGATCATACTATAAGGATTAAGGAATACGAAGTTTTCTCAATGATAATACTGCGCATATTTTTCAAGGGGCAATGTATAATTTATATATGCAACCAACAATAAATTCAATGTGGTGTCAAACGTATACATTTAATCTTATGCAGTGTATTATGCACAAAAACACATGGCGATGTACATGCTCGAACTAGGGCCAAAACAAGGTTCGTGTTGAGCATTCTTAGGTGAGCAAAGGCCACGAACTAAGATATAACGGACTGGAAACGAATAGTCGGGTGGGTGACTGCCACTTATGGTTTTGAGTAGGCTTATGCGGGGGAATACATGTAAGTGTGAATCTAGTGTTACCTATATTAATAATCTAGTTTATATCCACAACTCTGCTATGAATTATTAAGTATTAACTAAATACAAGATACCAAATAATTTGCAAATCGTGATTTTTAAAATTTGGACTTAAAAAGTTCAAAAACTTTATAAGACCATGATAATCGTCTTCAGCCGTTCATTTGCTTTATATAAACTGTTTGGCGACAAGCCGTCGTAGTCGTAATTGTAATTCCTTGAAATGTTAGTGATTTGTTACAACCACGGGCATACATGTGCTAATCACGTTCAGTTATCTCCAATGAAAAAATAATCGCATATTAACTAGGTACGTTACCGTTGCACCACGCATCGAGCGGGATAGTCGAATTGCACTTATTACCTACAAACAAATGGTCGAATTGCACTCGGGTAAAAAAAAGGTAGTGGTCGAACTGCACTCGGGTAAAAACCAGGTAGTGGTCGAACTGCACTCGGGTAAAAACCAGGTAGTGATCGAATTGCACTTGGGCATTTGAAGGGGTTAGGGCTAACACTCATTTTCCTTCCCACTTACAGGCTTAGGACTGACAATGATTTTAATCATTGGCGTGGTTAAAAATGATTGTTTTAGACATCACATTATGTTAATTATATATATTTACATTATAATTATTCTATTATACATCATATTATATTTTATTATACTATACATATTATTGTTATTATAAAACATTTTTTTTTTTTTAATCGTCAAATTTAAGTATCGTCATTATTATATATATATATATTTTTGTCCTTTCGATTATTTTTTGTAGTAATGACTAACTGTATTCAAAAATTCTAGCCTGGTAATACGCTTTTGAGTATATAAGTCAATATATTTTTCAATATTATTTATTTTTTTCTGATACCGTGTCGTTGATGGTCTTGTGTCAGTATTCTGCATTAAAATGTAGGTATCGATTTGTAATTGAGTTAAAACATCAATGAAAACAAATATATTTGGATGTGGCGATGAAAATGATTTATTGAACTTCGCGTGGAAAGACTCGCATGCATCAGTAGTTCTTTAACTAGAAATCGTATCTGAAGCCCAAATATGAGGCGGAAAAAGTCCTTCGTCAGAAATATAATTATCAACTAAATAGTCACTAAAATCTTGAACTGCTTGATTTTCTGGGATAGTTGACATAAAATCTTCTGTATAAGAATCGCCAACTTCAACTGCATTTAAAAAACATAAACCAAATATATTACGAAGCCATTTTCCAATTTCATTTTCAGATTTGTAATCAGTTGAAAGTCCTAAATTTTGTATTTTACGATACCATGATTGTGATAAGTGGAATCTACAACCTATTATTTTACTTAAAGGAAACATTTCATTGATTGCATTATGGATTGCTTGCTCAAAATCTGCTACAAATAAATTTGGTTTAAAAATTAAACCAAATTCATTGCACTTTTCAGTAATTATTTCAATTTTTTTTTATACGTATCTATAGTTTTATTTGGGAGCAAAGCGAATATTAATGGTACATAATAATTATTGTGAACTGTATGTAGTGTGAACATTTGATAATAAAATGTTGGGCAATGTAAAAATGTGCCATCCACAAAAATAATCGTTTTTTCACGTATATATTTTAAATTTTTTTCTGTTGAAAATATTATAATGTTATATGCAGAATTGTTATCTAGTAAAAAATCTTCATCAATATTTGTTTTAATTTCTAATTTGCTAATAGTGTCATGTGTGTCATTAAGAGATTTTGGTAAAATCGGATAGTTTTTCCGGTGTTCGTGATATATATTTTTTCGTATTCGATTTATGTCGTTACTATTTAATAATTGTGTTAACTCTACTGGAGCGTTAACAATTTCTTCCCTAATAATTTTTAATGGTTTATAAATACCTTGGTCAGCTGCTTTTCTCTTTGCTGAATTTGAAATCATTTTCCGAGGTAAATTAAGTGGTTTTTCATGGTTGTGTATTAACTCACATCGAAAAATTACTTTAGAACATGCTATTAAATAAGTTTTTTCAACAAAAACATCAAGATTTTGGTGACTATTTAGTTGATAATTATATTTCTGACGAAGGACTTTTTCCGCCTCATATTTGAGCTTAAAATATAATATAATATAAAGTATAATATAATAATTATAGGAAAATGAGTGTGAACCAAATGTTTAACCCCTTCAAATGCATGATAATTTTATTGAAATACTTTTTGAGCCCAAGTGCAGTTCGACCACTACCTGTTTTTTACCCGAGTGCAGTTCGACTATTACCTTTTTTTTACCCGAGTGCAGTTCGACCATTACCTTTTTTAAATCCAAGTGCAATTCGATTAAAATAAGTGCAATTCGACCATACCCGCATCGAGTCCTCCTAATATGGCGCCACCTTGATCATCACAATCAAATAAACTAAAACGGCATCGATCCTCGCCCTCTAGCACTGTCTTCACAACAAACTGAAAAAAAAACAAGTAATTTACGTTACCAAATCGATAGATAGATTGCGAACACAGGTTCCATGTAGAACTAGCTCTTCAAGAATACATTAAAGAAATCCTCGAGTATAAAATTTGTTTCACACCGCAGTGGTGATCGAAAAACTACATGCAAAACACTATAGTCCACGCCAATGCTACACATGTCAAGCTTGTGGCCATTCGAGCAACTACTGCAGTCAACAACCCAGGTGTGTGAGGTACAGAGATGATCACTTAACTGAAAAGTGCACCAAAGATAGTAGCAACCCAGCTAACCGTGAAATAAAGTAGAAAATTATGCTATAAACTGAGTCAGAATGTTTTGAAAAGGCATTGGGTACCTATATCAGTGGCGGATTTAGCGTCAGGCAAAGTAGGCAGTTGCCTAGGGCGGCAAATTTTTAGGGGCGGCAATTTTAGGCCAATATTTTATTGAGAATACTTTAAGTTTCTTTTTGATTTTCTAATGTACGGTGATTACTCTGAAGGATGGAAAAAAAATGTTTAATATTTAAGTATAATAATAATCTTGTTAATATAATTTCTTCTTTATTTTATAATACATAACAATAAACGTGCAAGTAAATTATCGAACAACTTCCGGGACGTAGATCTATTATCTAAATACTAAACATAGATAACATATTTCGTTAATTTGTTTTTTTTGCTAAGTCGTAATAATTATTAATAATCGCTCGTGGTTCGTTTGATCGCATGGCGTACACACACTACACGCACAATACATACAGATATGATATATTTAATACGAATACGGGTGACGATCGATTCGTATTGGAAGGATAGTGTAATTATAAACCAGTCACTGTGAATATTTTTATATAATATACTCGTACCTACGTACTATGCATTATGTGTACAAAAATAAAACTTTTTCTATCCAAAAGATAAAATTATGTAAAAATTGTTTATTTTTCTTCGGGACTATGAAATAGAGGGCGGCCGAGTAAAAAATAGGTTTATTCTGAATTCTGATTAGACATTCGATTATTTTCAACACAACATTCAAGGCGGATAGACTTCATATTCGGTTATTACTTTATTAGTATGCTACTTAAATTACTGGTAAGTAAACACTATATTTTATAAACACATTTTATTAGAACAGTTTATTAACATAAATGCCATTAATTATTGTTTAGTATCAGTCTTTATGATTTATTTTTTTAGTACTTATGTTAAATAATTATTTAAAAATACGTTTTCTCGTTGATAAGTTTAATGGGGCGGCAAAAAAAAATTTGCCTAGGGGCGGCAATTGTGTAAATCCGTCTCTGACCTATATACAATTTAATATTATCTATAGTCTATAGGTACTATAAGAGTCTGCTGCAGAAAATAGTACTGGTTGGACCTCTCTTTCCTACAACAATTTTACTGATAACGTTGTCTCTTTTCAACATAAAGTGCATGTGCACGACTCAATAGTGCAGCCAACTGTGTTTTTAATTATTTACATTTTATCACCCAAAGGAAGATCGGGCTGATTGAATAATTACAATGTGCTATGTGCATGTATATGTGCTATAATATTATAATTATTTGTAGTTGTTTGTAAGCTCCTTGACATCGTTCGAAGGTATATTATATGAGGCGCGTTTCTATATAGAAGTTTAAACAAAATATGTATCTTTTGCACGGGCTACGCCGGGCGGGACAGCAAGTAATTTATAAGTAAACGTTTCATTTCACCATGAAAATATTTTTAAAGTAAAATAAAATAACAACTTTAATCGTTATTCATCGTTCAAATATATATATATAATTTCATGATGTAATATTATAATAATTAGATACTATAAAACAAAGTAATATAGTGTCATTACTCATTAGTTTTAAGCAAAAATAAGTGTAACTTGTTCCAGAGGTGTAACTAATAGAAAAATAAACAATCAAATTATGATCCACAGTAATTAAAAGTATATTTTTTTTTACAGAGCACTTAAAATTACTTTTAGATTTTGAGGATGGTACTCATAATGTGTACTTATTTTATAAACATCGAACCCTTAAAGATTGGTCAAACGCACTTTTTTTTGGAGATTTTGAAATAGAAGCACAAAAAGTGCAAAAATTTATTGGTGAATATGCTGTAAAGGGGTTGATTTTGAATGGAATGGAATATCCTGCCTTAGAAGTAAAGTATATTATTATGGATAATTTAATATAAGTATACCTACTAAATTTACATTTATAATAGATTTATTTTAACTAATTAGAATCATAGACTTTATTATCACTGAGAAAATTGTGATATATTTTGAAAAAATATTTGATTTAGTATTTTAGATTCATTTTGACTAAACTTCAATGAAAGGGGGGGAGTGAATTTATTACTAAGGCATAAATAAATATGAAAAAAAATATTTTGCATTATGTCGCAGTACATTTTTCAAGCGTACCTACCTCTTTTACCCAACAAATAAAGTTTTATTGACATTCATAGAAAAAAAAACTAAAAAAATGGAAACTGAAAATGTCCGTAAAGATCTCAAAATAAGTCAAAATATTTGGAAAATGTCATGGTGTATAGAAAATGCTAATATAAACTTTCAGTCAAAATTGCATGTACCTACGGTCATTTGTTTAAGAGTTACACCAAAATCCAAAATCGATTTTGCGTAAAAATTCCCGTTTTTCCTTAATTTTTCTTATGTTTTTCACGGCGCGTTTGAAGACAACTGAGAAATTTTGTCCTAAAAGGTGATGACAGTAAAAAAAAAATTTAAAAAAAAAACACACATTATCGTAAAATCAATACATTCATTGTTTCACTCAGAATCTAAACATACATTGATACATTTATATTTTTTAAAATTTTATAATTTCGTAATTATATTATGATTTTATACTTATTTTATAACAATAAATTTATCTTTAGAATTGCAGTGGAGTCGACTTCTACAAGAAATTTACAGACTATGTAACAGTTATTAAAACTAAAATTCCAGGTTTGGAAATTGGGTTTTATTTGAGTGCTAGAACTTTGGTACTAAGTGTAAATAATGAGCTCAATTCAACTTGTAAGTGTATAAATTAAAATAAAATAAGTAGAAGTAAGATTGGTTATATCTGTAATAGCATCATAATATGTTTTGATTTATAATTAATGTTATTTTTGAGCTAACTTTATTATACAATCAATAAAATATAAATCTATTATAATATGTTATGTTTTGCATATTAGGGTTTGATTTTTGTAAGATGAATGACGTTTTGGATTTCTATGTAATTGAATTTGGTACTTTCAATGAATGTTGTGATGAATTCTTACATGGTGGAATTACTCCTCTTCATTCAACAGATCCAGCCGTTATGACATTAGTAAGATTAGTATCAAACACCTGAGTTAAAAATTAAGATAAAAATATTATGTTTTTTTTAGGAAAAATTTGCAGCAGCTTTAAAGCAATCTACCATTGCAAAAGAAAAAGTTTATTTTGAATTTTTAATAAGCCCTATACCGAAACCTAAAGATTCAGCACATTTGAGCCATTGTGTATTATCGTACAACGAGGTATAAACATTTAAATTTAAAATGTTCATAATTTAAAATAATTATAGAGATCGTATTATAGTGTTTATGGGTACATAAATCTAATGCCTATTTAAGAGGCTGGGGACATAAAATAATATGTATAATGTATATATATACACCTAGTTACCAATATACTTCACGTGCTTACCTATACAATACTCTGTCCCAGGAGAGATTATGCCAAGGCTTATAAACTCCAGTAATAAAGTGATTCAAGTTGAAGTCAAATAAATATACCTAAATTTATTATTAATTATCATAAACCACATAAGCCTCAAAATATGTGAATGATAACGTGTTGTCCTATCCATGTTTAGAAGATCTATGGTCTCAGCCAAAAATCGTTTCTACTCAGCAACAAATACTGCATTAAATATTATTTAAATCGTAATTTGTATGAATTGTTTCTTATAAAACCTTAAATCGTTTATTCTTACTCAACAGGTGTGTATATACTATTGTACTTAATTAGGTATACATTGTTCGGATGTAATTTTTATTCAATGAAAACTAATGCCATTACAAATATTAATGAATACACGAGACATGTGTCTTTTGTACAGATAACTTATAATATGTATAAAAACATAACCTAAAATCGATATGACTGCAGTATATTTAATATACATAAATACTATATTATATCGATGGCTTAGTGCACACTTGTTATAAGTCCATTATTTCCATAATTCAATTTTTGATACCAATAGATAGAAAATTAAATTCTCTTTATTTTTTCTACAAGATCTTTGTATTCTACAACCAGTATTCTATAACCATTCATGTGATATTACTATTTTCACTTATCATGAATGGCAGTTAGCCGTTATTTTTGTCCTAATGTAGTAATTGTAATTCCAAAACTTTTAGTGATAAGTCCTTAATTTTTATACTTGTACAGTTATTTTATTTCACACTTATCATTATGCGTCCGGACTTATCATACATTTGACTTGTATTCCCCAATTTATGAACTGCCTACATGTTATAAGTCCGGACTTATTATATGAGTGTAGTTAAAATATTTCAGATGTAGGACTTATTATATTTGAGCATATAAATTAACTATAAAGAAATGGACTTATAATGATTTGTTGGATTACAAACAACTTCAGTGATATTATTTTGTTTTTAATTATCCCCGTGTTGATAAAGTAACGAGTATTATTATTTATTACTCTTATCATTAAATTGTTATATTATTTGCTCTTATGATGACTTATATTGTAATATTAATATTATGGCATAAATAATTATCGCATATCAAGAAATATTATCAATCTTAGCTGAGCTTTGGTTGTTTATTTCATAGACCTAGTTAATAGGTATATGGTTCATACCATAAAATTAAGTTCCTTGGAGTTATTATGATTTGAAATGAATAAAATAATATATTATAATTGTTAACACGGGATTATGAACTATGATAAGACATTATTATAGGTACCTGTGGGTAATATCGAATAAAAAAATATAAATTAACAATTTAGTATTTAATATCTAGTTGTTTTTCATTTTAATTAAAATACCTAGTACACTATTTCAAGAACTATTATAATGAAAAAACTAAGAGCAAATAAAATGTTGGCTGTGATGGTCTAAAACTTATTTAGTCAATTTTAATACCCAGGGTTCGGAATAAATTCATTCGATTATTTTCAATGATTAAAATATATAAAATTATAATATTACTAGCTGTGCACTTCGTTGCCCGTTAAATGTATCAACTCTATATGACTCAAACTTTGTTCAGTTTATTTAATATTCGGTGTATGGTGTTCAAAATTTATCTTAACTTTTCTGTTGCCCGGAATAAAAAATCTGATTCGCAATAGAACATTATCAGGTAGGCAATCTACCTGCGGTAGATCGCGGACCCGGTGCTGTTTGTACGTAAGTGTATGATTTAACTCTAAAGTATTAAAGTTATACCAAGTTTGTCGTTTTTACTTAATTCCACTTAAAATTGATTAATATAATCAATTAATACAAAATCCTATCCTAACCTAACCGTACTAAAATCAGATGAATAAAATAAAACCAAATTTAACCCTTTTAAATTAGCCTATCTTCATCCCAGAGGTCTAATCTACCAACAAACATTCATTTATATAATATATATTGACAAAAGACAATAACACAAAATCAACAAACATGCCCGATTAACCAATAGCAACCAATATAATATTATACACTATTATTATTTTAATCTGCAACAATAAACTAAATTTTCATTTTATTATTTAGTTAATTTTTTTCTGGACAGATGTAGCCACTATAGTATTTTTGAAATCCATATTTTCTACTTTTCAGGTGGATTTTCCTAAAATTTTCTTTCATATAAACTTTCTCCATGAAATACTCTTTCGTTTAAAAAAAAAATCAAGAAGATCTGATAAGTAGTTTCGGAGTTTATCCCGAACAAAAAAAAGCGACTTCATTTTATATAGTAGTATAGATATAGATTATGATACGAGTAAATTAGTTATATTTTTAGCTAAGGAAAAATATTATTTTTTGTTTTCTTAATTTATGTTATTTTATAAGAAGTGAGAATTATTATGTTTTGTAAATAAATGTTTATGTTTCAACTTTTCAAGTATAGAAAAATTTTATTTTTATTTTATTTGAATTTGTTGAAGAGCTTTTATCAATCAATTGTGTTCTTTCATTTTTTTAAGGTTTTACGAAAAGAAAATATAATAATTTGTTTGCAAAAAGTAATAGTTATAAGGCCATTTTATATTATAAGTCTATGTCTATCCAAATTTATTTTGTCACATAGTGATAAGTCCATATAGTTTTTAAAAAAATGTCATTAAAATAATTAAATAAATATTCCACGAATTCAACTTATATATTAAAAGAAACTACATATATTGTTAAGTTAATTCCAATTTTAAAAAAACGAATTGATTAATTATTACTTAAGTTAAGCGGGTATCAAAAAAGTTAAAATTTAAAATAGCTCTCCTGCACAATTTCAATTTTGTGACTTATAAAAAGTGTGCACTCGATACGATAAAGCTTAAATTAGGTATTCTGTGGACCCATGTCCCGATAATATGAAACACATATGAGCTCCTCGTTTATATAATGTGAGTCAAATTATTTACTGGCGGGATGGGTATGACACCACGGTTTCATCCACTGTATGTCTGTATATTATGATCTAAAGTATAAATATATTTATATCTTATTCAATTACTAGCTGCCTGTGTAATTCGCTAAGGGTGAGTACCGATTACGGTGGTCAGCTTTTTTTATTATAGAATAATTATAGGTGTCACACGTCTATACGGTTAGTAAAAATTCAAAAGTATGAGGAGTCGATAAGTGTCACAAGTAGGTGATAAAGTTTGTAAATAAGGGTTTGTAAAAAGACTTGGCGCTTTGGTTGTCTCGTTTCAAATGTTATAATGATTGAAAGGCGAGTTTGAGTGAAGGCGGTATATTATCTTTTAAAACAAAATTATAGTGGTGGTTGATCACTTCGGGTAACAAACAAGAAAATATTTGCAGCTTTCAAGCCTTACCGTTAAATGGAAAGGTTTAGCGGGGGTCGAGCAGCTTGGGTCACTGCTTGCCTATATAGTATATGTTAGTTCTACAAGCATAACCAGACCGTGCAACCATTAGAAACGACAGAGTATCAGTGTGTTTTTCATATATTTTATATTATAAAATCAAATATCCATTGATTATTGCACATTCAATTTTCGATTTGGTGTCCGTATTTTATCATCTCCACTCACACAACACTAATTTTGAAGTCACCACACTCCTCGCCAACCGTTGCAATTAATCTTTAGTCTTTACTTATCATTAAATTATGTTATTTTCTGGGAATTAAACACAATTTTCCCAGTGCCAGATATAACAATTTTACAGAAATTTCAGTATATTCAACAATTTACATAGTTTGTGATTGAGTAAATTTTTAGTATGCAATGTATTTACTTTCACCAATTTATGTAATTGTTTTTAGATTAGTTGGATCCTTATAGGTACTTAAAACTATCAATTTAATTTTAGACTTAATATTATTTAAATAGTTTTTATAAATGTTTACAGTATTGTGAAAACCGCGAACATTACCAAGGAAAATGGTGTGTCGATAACCAGGACATATTGTATGAAAAAGTAATACTTTGTATTTTGTAATTTATAATATCATGAAAATTATTTAATTTTTTTTATATATTTTATAGGGTAAATTTGCCAAAAAATATTCACAAGGATTCATAGGGAAAGATATAGATTTAGTCGATCGTGATAATAAATGTGATTGTGATAATAAGTATATTACGTTTTATATGATATTAAAGGGATATACTGATGCAATTGATATACTAACTTGCAAAGCATTCAATTAGCCTATTTAGTCTAATAAATAATATAGTTAATTGTTATTTTCGAATTATATAATTAGGCACAAATGTACTGTTAATATTAATAAATTATGTCTTCTACTAATTACTTGATCCTCATAGAACGATTTTTTTATTTTGTTGTAATCCAAAGACTATTAACTGTAAGTACCTACTTGAAATTTTTATTTTTATTAAATATATACAACATGTGTCAGTCACATAGTCTTATAGTGGTTGTAACTAGTTTCAGCCAAAAATATTGACTTATCTGGATGGCCGACACCAAGATGGTAACGATGATAAGGTAAAAAATAATAGATACATTCCATATACATATTTATGAATTATTAATATGTCTATGATACCATAGATTAAATATACTATAGATAACCCATACGCCATGGAAAAACGAGGCAACCAGATGAGTATTAATCGCAAGATGAAACGGCCACAGACTGCGTTGCGTACGCTAGGGTTGCTACTTTAACTTGCGTAGTATAGGGATTATTCATGTTTTTTGCGTTTCTTGGAAAATATATGCATTATTTTGAACCATGACCCTCTTTAGATTTTAGATTCTGAGCGGAGCGATGAATGTATTGGTTTTACAATGATGTGTGTTTTTATATTTTTATATTTTTATATTTTTTTTTGTGTCTGTCATCACGTTTTGGGACAGTAAAAGTGCTTAGATTTTCTTCAATAGTACCTTTTCTGATAGGAAAGTGAATCTAGTTGGTACTTTGGGGGGGTCAAAAGTAAACATTTCCCAGTAGTTTTCACAAGCGCCGGGAAAAACAACATAAAAATTAAGGAAAAACGGGAATTTTTACGCAAAATTGGTTTTCCAAAAAATCGATTTTGGTTTTTGGTGTAACTCTAAAACAAATGAACGTATATACATGAAATTTTCAATGGTTGTTTATATTTGCATTTTCTATACACGATAACATTTTCAAAATATTTTGATTTATTTTGAACTGTTTAGGGACATTTTCATTTTCCATTTTTTTTTAGTTTTTTTTCTAAAAATATCAATAAAATTTTATTTGTTGGTTGCGAAAGCTTGAAAATTTAATAGAAGGCTCCTAATATGTTGTTTCAAAGACAGATGAAAAATATTAAAAATCCTTAGTCACAATTTTTTTTTATAAGCATTTAAAGTTCAAAAATTGACAAAATATGGAAAAATCACGAAAATTAGCAAATTGTTTTGAGTTAAGAATTCGTAAAATTTTTTCTTTTTTAATCTAAGATTTGAAAATGAAACACAAGATTCCTTATAAGATTATCTACCTTTATCAATAAAAAAATCTCTACCGGACAGTCAAGTTAAATTTTTATGAGCGTTTGAAATTCAAATTTTTACAACATTGGATGTTCACTCGATTTCTCATGTAGCGATTTCCTTATTTTGTTGTAATTCAAAAACGAATAACTGTAGATACATGAAAATTTCACTGAATATTTATATTAGCATTTCCTATACACCATACAATTTTGAAAATATTTTGACTCTTTTTGAGCTGTTTATGGACATTTACAGCTTTCAATTTTTTTTAGTTTTTTTTCTATAAGTATCAATAAAGTTTTATCTGTTGGGCCAAAAAGTGTAAAAATTTAATACAAAGCTCCTGATATATTGTTACAATATCAGTTGAAAAATATTAAAAATACATAGGCACAGTTTTTTTTTATAAGCATTTAAAGATCAAATTTTGACAAAATTTATCAAAATCTCGAAAATTATCAATCATTGTAATTAATAAATTATAAAATGTTCAGTTTTTATAGCTAAGGATTGAAAATTCAACACAAAGGTTCTCGTAAATAGTTCAAACTGTAACCAAAAAATCTAAAAAATATATGAACACAGTTATTTTTTACAGACATTTTAAATTCAAATTTGGACGAAATTACATATTAAAAAACTTAGAATAACTATTTTAGTTATTTTGTTGTAATTAAATAATATTATTCGTGGATACTTGAAACTTCTAAAGTGTACTATTATATATCTATGATAGTATCACGGTTTTTGTTGATGTATAACGCGTTATAAGTACCTAATGGATATTTTGATATGACTAATTTTGGAATTTATTATAGGTACCTACCTATTATAGGTCAAATTTTGGTTTAGTACCATAGATATGTATAATGTATATAATATGTCTTATACCTAGACTGACATACTGTCTCCGCTCAGAATCGTTTTTCTTATAAAATGATATTATATCGTTGAATTCAAATTTAATATCATCCATTATACAGTGACCCACTTGTAACCTACTGTACAGCAGAGCGACACCCACTTGCCCACCTTTTTTAGCTTGTGTACAGTGAAGTGTAAAAAGTGTACAGTAAAATGCCGAAATCAAAACCTCTTTTCTCGTCTACTTTACGAAAGTACGTCAATGAATTTGGAGCTGATATTTTTAGTACGGATGGTACAATATTATACTGTTAAGTTCGTGAAGTTAGAGTTTCGGCGGAAAAAAAAATTACGATACAACAACACGTTAACACGCAACTAACAAGCATATTGCAGGTGTCCAACAAAAAAACGATAAAGAAACTTCATGTCTTCAAACTTTGATCACAACTTCATCAAACTCAAGTTTTAATAGTGACCTTAGTAAAGCTTTTTTAAGTGTGAATATACCACTGAATAAGTTATCGCAACCAAATGTTCGTAAATTTCTAGAAAAATATACTAATAAATCGATACCTGACCAATCAACATTAAGAAAAACATATGTACACGAATATTACGAAGACACTTTATGTGAAATCAGAACGTATGCATCAAATAAAAAAATTCGGATTTCAATTGACGAGACAACAGATACAATGGGTAGATATATTGCAAATACAATAATCGGCACATTAGAATAGGGCCATCCCGGTAAAGTTTTTTTATTAGATTCAATAGTGTTAGAAAAAGCTAATAGTGGTACAATAGTTAGATACTTAGATGTTTTGAACAATCACTTTCGCTATTATGGCCGGGTGGTATTCAACGGGAGAATGTCCTACTATTTTTATCAGACGTGGCACCATACATGGTGAAAGCAGGAAAAGCTTTAAAATTACTTTACTCTAAAATAGAACACGTGACATGTCTTGCTCATGCTCTACATAGGGTAGCAGAAGAAATACGAAATATTTTTCCGAAAGCACCTTATCGATTACAAATTTTAAAACTATTGCTCCTAATATACCATTACCGCAACCAATATTGACTAGGTGGGGAACTTGGTTGAATGCAGCCATGTATTATTCTGAACATTACGTTTTAATAAAACAAGTAGTCATGACTCATGGAGCTCAACCGGGAAGACGCTATATTATATCCATTGGAAAAGTACAAGATTTAATTGCCGATTGGAATTTAGAGTACATTAAATCTAACTTTGGAACACAACCTGAAACTATCATTCATTTAGAACTGAACTGTCCAGAACGTCTCTCCCAGATGACCTCAGCTTTGATGACATGGCTTTTATGCGATATGCTCCTATTACGTCTGTAGATGTTGAAAGGAGTTTTTCGGCATTTAAAAATTTGTTGACAGACAATAGGCAATCATTTTTATTTGAGAACATCAAACGAGCACTTGTTGTCCAATGCAACAGTATATACTAAATACTAAAGATGAATAAGGTACCCGGAAATTAATATCTTAATAATTAAGTTTGTTTTATTATTTTAACAAAATAAATACAAAAAAAATTGTTTTAAATGTTTCAGGTGAATAGCATTAACTTAATGCAAATATAAATTCAAATTCAATCAACATTTTTACTATTTTTTTTTTATAAAATAAACACTTTTTTTTACTAATGTTTAATATTGTGTACCTAATATTAATATAAATATTAAAATTAAATTAAAAACCATTTTAAATTAATTTTATACTATCATTTTTAGCATTTTATATTCCTTTTTTTCATTTTAAGTGCATATTTTGCATTTTAAGTGCATATTTTATTGCACTTTTTTGACATTTTTAATGCATTTTTTTAAATTCACAGCCCTGGTAATAACTAATAAGTTATAATAATTTATAATTGAAAATTACTGTTACCTACATATGATTTTTTTGTTTTATAGTTAAATATAATGTGTAATTTAGAAAATTGAATTATATTAAAAAGAATATTAGTTTATAAATCCATATTCATATGACCAATTTTTATTTTATATGTAAAAATATTAAGTAATATTAAGTAATTATCATAGAATTTTGTAAACAAAATACACGTTAATTGGTGAATTTCGTAATTGAAAAATGAATGAAAAGGGCGAACCGACTACAAGCGCTTGGTGGCGATTCCGCTTGATAACACTACAGTAAGAATCTTAGATCATATACTAGTATACTAGTATATGATCTAAGGTAAGAATTCACTTTTCTTATCCAGTGGCACGATTAAAGATAGTAAGGTTGCCCAAAGAAATTTGGAAAAGCGGGTAAGTGGATGTAAGATGTCACTCTGCTGTACAGTAGGTTACAAGTGGGTTATTGTATAATGGATTGTATTATAAACTTGAATTCAAATTATTCAATGATATAATATCATTGTATAAGAAAAAAGATTCTGAGCGGAGACGGTTTGTCAGTCTGGATATTTTACATTGTTATAAGTTATTATATCATGTAAGTTGAATTAATATTATAATGTTATAATTTTTTATTCGTTTCTATGGGGATAAACCGTTATAAATGAAAATCCCATTTTTAGAGGCTTTTCGTAATTTTTCTGTGGTTTTTACCATTGGCATTAAATAACTATTGATAAAATCGAAAAATGACCTATCTAAAGTACCATATTCATCTAATTTTCTAAAAGATAAGGTACTATATGTTGAAAGCGCTACTTCTGGTAGAAATTTTGTATACAGGATATAAAAAAATAAAATAAACACCATTGTAAAACCACTAGCTTCCTCGCTCCGCTCAGAATCTAAAATATACAAAAATGAAATAAATATATTTC